CAACTTAATCCCTATATGATTTACTGAATTTTACACCGTGCAAGTTTAATGCTCACAACAGAGTGTTCATAGAAAGGGCAAAGGCTGAGATAGAGATCCGATAGGGAAAGGGGACAACAGTGGCCCTAATTCGAAGATTAAAAAGGAAACAACGAGTCCCTGTATTTAACGAAACAAAAAGTAGAACATAATTTAAAGAGCAACAAACAGAAAATAGAGATCGGAGTTTGATTAACCGGCATAAACATGTACGCCGACGGCAACAAGTAAGATAGTGATGAGGCCAAAGTAAATGACGGCATGTACCAAAATAGCAGCGCCGCTCGTTTGCATCCCGCCGAACTCCACCACTTTTCCACGGCTAGGTAACTGAAACAACAACCCCGGCGATAACAGCACGAACAGCACCACCGCTATCAACACCGGTCCCCAATCCGCCATGGTAACTAAGGGTGATTGAACAGAGAGAAAGAGGAAATAAATTGGGGAAAATGTCAAATGATGAAGTTGTGTGCAGCAGATGTGGCCAAAAGTGAAGGGAAACAGACAGATTTGAATTTGTTGGATGTTGGCGTCATTGGATTCATTGCCTCGTCATTACCCCAATTTCAGTCTTGGGCTTTGTCTTTTGGGCGGTGACTTCTCATCCTCCCAATACACTTTTTCTTCTTTTCATTTTGGTAACATCACTATGCGTGAACATTTGGTTCGATTTTATATTATTTGATTTTTTATTTTTGGTTTTGAAGCAATATAACCTAATTTAAATTAAAATAAATTTAGTTTGATTTTATTTGAGTTTTTCTTTTAATTTGAATAATCAGTTATGTCAATAATTAGAAACATAACAAAGTTATATTTGTAATTTTTAAAAAATTATATATTATTTTTTAATATAAATCACAAGTAAAACTTAAAACATAAAACCTAAAAGTATATTCAAATATAAGAAAATAAACTAAACCATAATGAAAATAATTAAAAAGGGACAAATTAGGTAACTCCAACTTAATTGTAAAAACAACACACACACACACACAAAATTTAGTTTTTTCTAAATTCGAAATCAAATAAAAAAATAAATAAAGTAAATTATAAATCCAAAACCAAACCAAGAATTTCAAAAATCAATCCAAATTAGAATTCAGTTTGATTTGATTTGGTTTTTCGATTTAATCCAAATAGTGCATACCCCTAAATATCACAATTAGATATTTCACATGTTTACTTTTATTTGTCACACCTACTAAGAAAATAATTATAATTAATACAAATACTATGCCAAAATCCTCTATTAAATATTTTATCTATTTCTAATTACTTGTTCGTTTTTTAATTGACACCCCTATTAAAAAATTAATAATTAATGCAGTGAGGTTATCATTTTATCCTTATTAATTATGAAGCGAATGAATTAAAATATAAAATTTTAAAAAAGTTTTACCTTTTTAAAAGTAATTAACGAGAGCACAATATGTGGAAAAAGATTGTTTTTTTTTATCAAAATGGATAAGTAATTAGGGACAACTAGAAAAAATAATGTAGAGCAAGTAATCAGAATAGAGAGAGTAATGCCTTGAAAAATGATTTGAGAAATAAACTTTTAATGCTTAAGGGTAAAACATAAAAAAAAATTATTGTTTTTTCTTGATATATCTAAAGTAACAAGTAAAATAAAATTCATCTTAGAAATAAATGACAAGTAGCAATTAACACATGAAGTGTATTCCGTCTCAAAATAAATGGTTTTCCAAAAACAATCACATCCATTGAATAGGGCTGGATATCGGACGAATTACTAATCCGCTAGCCAATCTATAAGTTATTATTTAGTTAGATATTAGATTAGAAATTAATGGACGATTATTGATGTACCGACTATACCATTTCATGCTCACTTCTCTTACTTTGACTCACCAATATATTGATCTTCCATCAAACAAATTAATTTTTTTAATCCTATTTAAGTTGATAATTTATAATTTCAAATCATAGTAAGACACATATGAAAATCTAAATTTTGAGGATGTATACACATAAGTATTTACTTAATAAATGTATTTACGGTAAAAATATAATTTCGATAATTTTTAATGAGTTAATATGTTTAACCTATAAGTAAATTAAGTAATCTGCTTCGTTTTGAAACCATTTAATATAAAATTTTAATATATTCACCACCCGATAATACTAATAAATTAATTTTGTGATTAACTTATCTATTACAATTCTATTTTTAATAGCCCTACCATCGATTAGATATCTCTTCCGTTTCAAATCAGTATCAATCTTAATAAAAAAAATACGTTTTGTTAAGATATTAATACATACAATATAATTTAGTAAAAAATATATATATTTAATTATATTTTTTGAAAATCTCTTATAATTAAAAGGATGAAGTATATAACATGATTTGAATATGTTATTAATTTTTATTTTAAATTTCTAAGATACAATTGGGAGTAGAAAGTTAAAGTTGCCATAAAGATGAACATTATCTTTAAAATCACATAAAGACACCTTCTTGACCAAGTATCTTCCATTCAAAATTTGGGACGAATTACCAATACAGCTTTTTAAGGGGTCGTTTTGGTTTGCAGAAAAGTTTTTGTTGGAATTAGTTAAGCCTAGATTAGATATATTGAGATTGTTTATATTAATATTATTCTCTGCGTTTTAAAAATAATTGTCTAGTTTGACTTAAAATAAAGTTTAGAAAAGGAAGAAAACTTTATCAAAGTATGTTAAATGTATCAAAATGCCTTTTAATTTTATGGTCTTAAATCTTTTACGTGGAAAGTTAAAGTCAAACTGTTGTCAAAAAAGAAAAGAGTCATTCTTTTCAAAACAAACTAAAAAAAGAAATAGGATCATTCTTTTTAAAACGGAGGAAATAATTTTTATTATTTGTTTAATTTATTATATTAAAAATAATATGCATTACATAATTTTCTAAGAAAAAGCTGTTTGTTTAGAAAAGTATTCTCGTTCTTACATAATCCTTTCACGTGGTACAAATATTATTCTTAAAAAATATAAATTTTTGAGTAAAGTTTTTCATTATTAAAAGAGTCAAATCCCATTTCAAAATTGCTGCTAAGCAACATTTTTTTGACGATGGTGAAGCTAATAAATGGTTCATTTTGGTAGATGGGCAAACATGATATCTAGTCCAAAGTCTATATGGTATGTGGGCTTGACAATATATGATTTGGGCTGAAAATGCAATGGCAATTCATTGCTCCATAGTTTAGCTGTGGCGGAAGGTGAACTAGAGTTTTTAAATGGACGTGTTGGTCTGAGATTGAAGATATTATAATGAGTTGAAACAGAAATGAGATTAGGTTATGATTCGTTCAAGTTTACTTAGACCTCATATGGGCTAAAAATAGACCTACTCAATTTGATGTGCTTAATCTCAATAATTTTAACATATTGATATTTAATTTTTATAATCACAATTTTTAAATTTCAATTTAAGATTCTTTTTTTCTTAAAAAAATTACAAATAGATAGATAAATCCTAAAAGATGTTATATATATATAAATACTTCATTTCTTCAATATATGAACATACATTACATCAATGCAAATAAAGAGTCTTTACAAAGGTCGAAATTAGAGACTAATTTGAGTTCTATTGAGGATTCTTCTAAAATGAGCTAAAGCTTGAATGATTTGAGAACTGAACCCAATTTAAATTATCTTGAATCCAATCCTTAACATCCCGAAAGAATTTGAACGAATTATCTATATTGTGTAGACGAAGAATGTGCTACTTCCTCACATTTTGAAGAATTCAATATAAAAAATAATAATAAAAAATCTTTGTGAAATATAATATTTTACCACACAAATAAATATTCAATAAATCTTCTCTTCCTCTATCTACCCTAGCCTTTGCTGATTTAAGAATATATCACATACAATTACTTTAATTTAACATTTTTCATTGGAGCATGGTTTTTACGGAGTTTGTGCACGTTGTCTTTATTTACACAAATTTATATATATAATTTATGTCAAATACTGATATAATTAAAGGGGATAACACATAAAATAAATTTAATTTAATTTTCAACTTGTGCCACATTCAAACAAAGTGTGCTGGTATATATATAATAATAAAATCTACTTCACATAATTTTAATTAATTCAGTCACATTATTCCTTGTCCAAATTGATTTAGATTGACTTTCTAAAAGTGTTAAGTATTACATTTTCACGTTATTAAGAGCATAGAATTATATATCACAGATAATTAAAAGCCGCCAATAAAATAATCAAATAAAAAAGCAACCGTATGTACGAATTAAACTTACACATGCAAGTAGAAGAAAAAGAAACAATATACTCTCTTTGTCGGTATTTAGTTGTTCACTTTAAAAATGACACACATATTAAGATAACAATAATTAGCATAGTGAAGTTATAATTTACCCTTTTTAATTATAATTTCAAAAATGATTAATTAAAACTTAGAAATTTTCAAAAAATTTAAATGAGGATATAATAGGATTTTTTTTTTATCATTTCTTGATTTGTCAAAATGAACAAGTAAATAAGGACAACTAAAAGAGAAAATATGGACAAGTAAATAGGGACAGACGGAGTGCTATTTAAGTTATATCCATTGAGGAGGCTCTATAGTAACTTTACCTAACATAAGATAGACATTACTTTTGATCGAGTTAATTGAGCATGCGATGTGATTCCTGGTTCAAAATCTCCAATCACTAATATATATTTTCTCTATCTTGCAGAGCTTCATAGTACGATTTATCTTGATAATACTGAAGCGAGATTTACTTTATATAAACTCAAAAGCGCGACTATGATTTCCTCGTCAACAAAATGAAAAAACTAAATATAGAGATTAGTATTGAAGTATAATACAATAAGTGCAAAACGTATACAAATGGACAACCATTAGAGAAAAAATAATATTCATATTTAAACTTAAACCCAAGCAAACCCTATAAATAGAAGGCTTTCATTAGTCTAAAAAAGCATTCACAACTTACAAGCATGGCAAATTATTTATTCCTCTTCACTCTATATTTACTTCCCTTTATTACCTTTTCATCAACTTTTACCTCCCAAAATCTCATCGATTTACCTAGTGCTACTAATAAATTAGTACTCGACACCAACGGTAACGCACTCGATCCTGGTGCAAGTTACCACATCGTTTCGATTGGTCGTGGTGCCGCGGGTGGTGACGTGTACCTAGGTCCCTCCCCGAATTCATCCGCACCGTGCCCTAACGGTGTGTTCCGTTACAACTCCGATGTAGGACGACCCATCGGTACGCCCGTTCGATTCATTACTAAATCGGATCATAGTATTTTCGAAAATCAAGACGTAAACATTCAATTCGATATTGCAACGTCTAGACTATGTGTTATTTACGCAAATTGGAAAATCGGAGACTACGATGTATCGCTCGGAGCGCGATTATTGGAGACGGGAGGAACTTTAGGAGAGGGAGATAGTAGTTGGTTTAAAATAGTGAAAGCATCAGAATCAAGTTACCATTTGTTGTATTGTCCTGGTCCTTTTGTTTGTCCATCTTGCCCTGTCGATGAGTGTCGAGCAGTAGGTTGGGTTAGGCAAGATGGGAAGAGACGTTTGTGTCTAGTGAAAGATCAGCCTTTTGGTGTTAATTTTAAGAAAGTCTAGTTAATTAACAATCCTAACTAGACTATGTATAATGTATTACTAGTATGTTTTAACATATTGTATTGCAAAATAAATAAACATGTGATGGCTACTACATGAAACTTTGCTAAAAGTATATATTTTAGCATGACTTTCTTAATAAATTTAATGTGTTCTCTTATTGACTTTATGTAAGGAACATTTGTCTATCTATTCTTTAGAGATTTTGTTTGGTCGGTACGATAAAAAAAAAATTAAATCAAGATATCTCATCAGATTAGCTATTGTGTGTATATATAGGATAACTAATTTCATCGTTTGAGTATAAATAGAAAATATTTATGTTTAAACATAAGATAGAATAATTTATGTTTTATCACGAAATTATTATCGAAAAATCGTATTAATTAATAAGGGTTTTTAAAACTAGGGATGTTTCATTCCTACTGTGAAGGCCGAAGGGGTGTAGACTAATTGATAATGGAGTATAATCACGTAAATATTTTATTATATTTTGCTAATTTTATCTATAGTTTGAAATAATTATGTATTGTCTCACTATTTGATAATTTCATATAAGATTTTAAGTCGAATACACTTAGATATAAATATTTTTTTTTGCTATTAGATATACTGAAATAGGAAAAGAGAAAAGCAAGAATAGAAGGGAGACGAGTGAGATTTATCTATATATCCAGCTGCACGCAAATTCACTTGAATAAAAGGTATTCAAAATAAATTACACTTAATTTTGACTTTATATATATCGATACCAAAATTTGGCATGAATTGTTATTTTGAGAAGTCTTAAAGTTACTCTCTCCGTTCACTTTTATTTGTCACTGTGTTTTTTGACCACTTTTTAAAATAAAATTAGATTACATTAATTTAACATTTTAAGCAAAAAATTTAGATATTAAAAAAAAAAACTATACGAAAGGTACCATAAATAATTTTTAATTTTTACATATCAATATAATGAAACAATGTATCGTAAAATGTTAGTCAATAATTTAAGTCTAAAAAGAAATTGAAATAATTAAAAGTGAACCGGATAATAGTGATTTTGTGGTGTTTACTCTCCAATAATTAGTCAAATCAGATTGATTAGACTTACATCAGAAACTCAAGCGAAGAAACATATAATTTCATTCTACATATTACAAACGTTGATTAAACTGAAAAAAACAAATCAAAGAATAAACAAATAAATTAACACAATCCCTCCAAATTAAACAAAAAATGACTAGAAAAAGAATATACAAAGAAGCAAACTAGTGAAAGAAAATACGAACACGAACAGCTAAAATAAGAATTGTAAAAAATACGAAGAAAATCAAAGTATGAATTAGAACTGCTTTGCCATTAGTAGCAAAGCTTCCGAATTCGACGTGGCGTTGATTCCCCGGCAGCTGAAAGAGTAGTCCCGGCGATAGCAAGATGAAAAGAAGATAACCTATCAGAATGGGTGCCCAATCAATCATATTTAAGTATCAGGATCGTATAAATAAAATTTATATCTCCTTTATCTAGTCGACAAGACAGGGAAACTCTTTGTTGAACTATAGGGATTGTGAAATAGGTTCAATTTACGCTCTCCTACTTATAGTATTGTTTTACACTCTCATGGATAAATTCTATGCTTTTTCATCAAGGTAAGGATTGCGTTACTGCATAAATTAATAGGATAGAGCCTTGGGATTGAGGGAAAAGCATCTTTTAACTCTTATTAATAATGAAATAACATATATTCTCTTCGTTTATTTTTACGTGTCATATTACAAAGTTTAAAATGAGATTGCATTGTTACCCTTAGTAGCACCTCAACGATAGTAACTACTAAGGGTAATAATACATACATATATATATCTATATATATATATATATATTGAGAAATTGATAGAAAAAGAATATAATAAAAAGTGCATTCTTAATGAACATTGAACTGCTTGTAGAAGTGAGGAAATACCTCCTTGCAGAAGCAGGTTCGATCCTGGTCAACGACTCTTATTTAACTTCTTTTTTTTACAAAATCAAATTTCAATCTATTCAAATTTTAAATTCGCTTAATTATAATATATAAATAGCATGAAAATATAAATTTTAACTTTGACTTTCAACTTTCATAATGTACAATCAGACACTTTAACTATCCAATTTTTAAATAAATAAATACATGAGTCCTACATGACAAAATACACGTAGGACACCATGTAGGATAAAAAATGACATGTAGGACATGTTTGTCATATTTGTTCAACTTTATACAAGTTTAAGAGTCTACTTGTGCACACTCAAAATTAAACGATATAAATGTAATTCAAAACCAACTTAAAAAGCATATTTATGCCTAAAATATATTACATCTAATTAAGGCCTTCTCAACTAGCTTATTTACTATGTAAACAAAGTATAAAGTATACTTGTATTATAAAAAGAAAAATAACTCAAGTATTGTAAACTTTAAAATTAAATAACTTTCATGTGACAAAAAAAAATTACCGTATAAATTCAAAGTTGAATGATGATCGGTGAATTTTAGCCGAAATGCCTCGGTCTTGGGTTTTCAAAACTAACAGATTTAATATTTAATAAAATGCTTGAATTTTCGGATAGGTATATAAAAATGATGACAAAATTAAGTTATTTTGTTTCCTTCTTTGGTATATATTTAAAAAAATAATAAAAAGGATCAAGGGCACTTCATCTAAAGTTGCCATAAAATAAAATAAAAATGCTGACCCTGACTCCTTGTAGATGTGTAAAGGCAAAAGGAAGAATATTAATTCTGCTTCAATATATATATGTATGTATGTCATTGGAAAATAGTTTGTGTAGAAGTAGTTTAATTTTATTTATTTAAAATATTAAAAGACATTATGCAAAGTCACCACGTTATTCGTTTGCCCATTTCTTTTTATTTGTTTATTTATATAATGTATTCTAAAGATAATCTAAATATTCATCATGTTTATTTAAATTGCGTTCTGCAAGGGCCATTCAGGTATGACGTTTTTAATATAATTTTTTCCATATTTGAGCTTGAATTCAAGATCTCAGGATGAAGCAGACCATTATACCTAGGGCTGCGTATCGGTCGGTTTGTTCGATTTTAAAATTTATCGGGCTGGCTTATTGGTTATCGATTTGTAGAGATGTTAAACCGTTATGAAACCATAGTTATTGCTTTACGATTCTCGATCGTTATCGGTTCGGCTATCGAATTAACCGTTAAAATTTTACACAAAAGAAAAAACATTGAAAATCACTTAGAAACAAAGTGACAACCATGCACTTGAGTTCGCAAGTTACATTTTGCTCAAAAAACGAACACTTTTACATTGTAGAATAACTAAGTGTTCGGAACAACCAAAAATAAAAGTAGGAGATCAAACTCTAAATCGAGAACTTTATATATAAAATGGTATAAATATTATTTAATTTACTATCGGGTTATCGATTAACCCGTTAAAATTTTTTTTCAAACCGTTAAGAACCAATAATTCGATAACAAAAAAGATCAAAATTATTAAACCAGTAACCAATGCTATAAAACAATTACTTTTTTATTAATTTCACTTGTCAATTTCAATTTAATTTTGAACTGTTCTAACTTTACCGCAACCCATATCGATATATAATTTATGTTTGTGTTTGCGAAAATCGGAAAAAGGAAAACAAAATAATGATATATGAGTATCTAAAATTCAACGCCGCACGTTTTCAGTGAAATTGGGATCATATTCCGGAGGCGGACATCGATTGACGTGGCACAATATTATTGGTCAAACTCTCTAAAAACTTGGCGTCCTCCCAAAACTTTTCAATTGCAATTGTCATTCCTTTCTTGCCTTTCTCTCATTTCATAAAAAAATTCCGTCTCTCTCCACCTCCTCTTCCTCTTTGCCGTTTTCCCGGAAAATTCATCTGAAGAATTTTCCCGGAAAAAAAGGCATCTTCATATTACACGACGAGAAAATTATCTGGAGATTGATATCGTTTTATCATTATTTGAATACAATTTTGTATATTTACGTTTATTTTATTCTTAGGTTTAATTTGAAGATTGAGGTGAATAATTTTGTTTGATTTGATTGGATTGATATTGGAGTTGGAGATGACAACGAGTCACGGAGGAGGATCCTTGTCGAGGAGGAGTTCGTTGTCGTTGACGAGCTCGACGTCCAACTTGAAGAAGAAAGCAGCCGCTCATGAAAATGGAGGTGGACAGCCTGATTCCGGTACCCGAAAGTCTATGTCGTTGTCTCGTTCCATGTGAGTTTTTATTCTCATGCACCTTGTTTCTCGGATGTTTTGATCATCCTCTGTTGTTAAAAAAACTTGGTTGCTATGATTCCTGTAGAGTAGAAAAGGAAAACTCATCTTTATTTCGTTATGTATGATTCAATGATTGAGGCTTGATATCCTGATTCCTGAAGGTTGGAAAAGAATAAGTGGTTCGTTTATCAGGTTGGATTGATTGAGAATTTTGGGGAGCTCTTGGTTCAATTTGCTCCCGTTATCCTGCAATCGAAGCAAAACGATTAAGTGTGTGACAGAATGTTGGTTATATACGCTGTACTAGATACTTTCATAGCCTAGTTGTTTCACTTATTTTAAATATTGGAAATTTGAAGCTGGAGCTGTGTTCTGGTTTGGGGAATATCCATGACTTATGTGTTGGTTCTCCAAAGCTAAAATGGAAGAGCCCATTCCTAATGCATTTGCATTCTTGAAATTATGCTTATGGATATCTTACTGTTACATCAAGTTAAAGTAAACTAAATGTAAGTGCTGGCATAGATTGAGTGAACTGGAGTTGCATATAGATGATTTTTAACATGTATGCATCCATGTTAAGCTGGTAGGACATGGGCATAGGGACTTCCACATAGATCTAAAAATATACATGGAAAAACTATGTTACACGTACCTTATCTGCTACTTACTCATGTTCAATATTAAAGCGAGTGTGTGTTTCGTGGTTGTATATTGCTACACATTAAATGTTGTGAATGATTATGCTGCACAATTTCGCCAGAGGTTTTTGCTTATTTAGTTTATTGGCTATAGTCTGTTCTTTCTTTTGGGCTGGTTGAGTTTGTTTCATACACAAATTAGTTCTATCTTTAAAGCATTGCTCAGCCATTAAAATTCATCCACTACTTTATCCTTAACTTCTTGACCACAGAATGACAAATCTGTTAAGTGATAGTCATAGCTGGAAATGATTATGCTAGTGGATGTACCGGATGTTAAAATCACGAGTTTAGGTTAGGGTTGGGGTTAACAACCACTCCAAGTCTTCAAGTCAAAGTGATCAGTGATATATCATTTCTTGTAGTAATAATACTTGATTCTCCTACACATTTGTTTCAGGGGATTGACTGGAGAGCGGACAGTCAAGAGACTGCGACTGTCGAAAGCCCTAACAGTACCTGATAGTACAAGTATTTATGAAGCTTGTCGCAGGATGGCTGCTCGCAGAGTTGATGCTTTATTGCTGACCGACTCAAATGCATTGCTATGCGGTATCCTGACAGATAAGGTTTAAATAAATCTTGCATAATTATCATAATCCGACCAAATAAAATCAAGTTATGAGATTTTTCCCTTTAACAAAAAAAAACATCTTAAACTAACTTTTCTTTGCATCCTTCTCATTTCTTCTTTGGGAAATTGAAGGACATAGCGACAAGGGTTATTGCTCGTGAAGTTAATATTCAGGAAACACCAGTTTCAAAGATCATGACGAAAAATCCTGTTTTTGTGCTTTCTGACACACTAGCTGTAGAAGCCTTGCAGAAAATGGTGCTAGGTTGGTATATTTTAGTAACACAAATGGTTGATTCTTTTGAGCCTATTCAATAGCTCACTGTCAAGCTGGCCACAGGAAAATTCAGACATTTGCCAGTTGTGGAAAATGGAGAGGTTATTGCTTTACTTGATATAGCAAAATGTCTTTATGATGCCATCGCTCGACTTGAAAGAGCAGCTGAGAAAGGAAAGGCCATTGCAGCTGCTGTTGAGGGTGTTGAAAAGCACTGGGGCTCATCTGTTTCTGGTTAGTTGAGAATTTTGCATTGTTTCTATATTTCATTGATATAGCTTGTTGAATATCTTGAGTTCATTTTCCAAGTTCCCTGTTTTTGAATACGTTATTTGATCTTCCCTTGCATGTGTCATTTTTTAACCTCTTTTATTTCTTGATTGTCTCAGGTTCTAATACATTTATTGAAACACTTCAGGAGCGGATGTTCAAGCCTTCGCTTTCAACGATCATCTCTGAGAATTCAAAGTAGGTAATATCTTTACTTATTATATTATTTAGTATGGGATTCATAGCTTGTGATCTGTAAGATAAATTTCATGCAATTACTGTACCTGTGGTGTTTCTAGGGTTGTTATAGTTGAACCAAGTGATACTGTTTTAGCCACAGCAAAAAAGATGCTTGAATCTCGAACAAGCTCTGCAATAGTAATGGTTGACAACAAACCACGAGGAATTTTAACGTAAGGTTTCTCTTTTTTCTCCAAACGTCAGCCTCTGAATCTGAGGTCTAGTGTAATGCACACTAATAATCTCTTTCAAATATCTGCCTCATGGTGGTTGCAGTTCAAAAGACATGTTGATGCGAGTCATTGCTCAAGATCTCTCCCCTGAGTCCATTCTCGTTGAGAGGGTAAATCTCTCTCTCTTATTTCCTATATTGGAATTTAAGAAAGAAAGTATCATTTAATCTCCGTTAACTTTTGTTTTATAATGCATACTGTTCAGGTAATGACCCCCAGTCCAGAATGTTCTACAACTGATACACCTATTGTTGATGCTTTACATACAATGCATGATGGCAAGTTTTTACACCTTCCTGTGGTGGATAAAGGTAATTTGATCTTCCCAAGTGTTGGTTTGAGATTTAATATCTTCTTTTCCTGATTTCTTTTTAAAAATTGTAATTCTAATGTGGTGCAGAGGGTACTGTTGTTGCTGTCCTTGATGTTCTTCATATCACTCATGCAGCTGTATCCACGGTAATAAGCATGCGCACAAATTTCTAAATTTTGAAAACATTTTTCGTAACTCACTAGTTATTATGCATATGCATGATTTTTCCATAAGTTGACAAGTTTCTGAAATTAATATCTTCCTAGTTATCTTTACATATAATGGTGCATATAGAAAGAAAAAAAGAAGTCATTGTCAGCCCCTTAGAGGATAAAGTGCTCTGAACTCCTTTTGACTAGTTATGAAGGACCAGATGATGTTGAAAGATCAATTGACTTGCATTTTGTCATTCTGCCACTAAGATATGATTACAGGGACTAATCATGTCAACTTTCAATTGCGGAAAGAGTGTAAACAACAACCACGAATTCCTCAGTTCTTAATGAACTATCATCACTCAATGTTATTGACAAATGAGAGCATTCAAACTTCAGTATGGACAGATTTTGGATGACATTTCTTTTGTCAAAGAACCATTATTTTAAAATATGCTTGGGTTTCTAAGTTTGGCAAAGATGCAAATTTGTGCCTCATCATGACAAAAAATAGCCTTAAATGGCTCAACTAAGAATACTAACTAGTAATACTTCGAATCATATTTCTGGTGCTCGTCAAGACAAAACTTGCCCTAAATAGCTATGGATCTCCTTCAGTGCTTTGTGCATTTTCTATGAAGCTCGTCATTAGTAACGGAAAACTTTTAGAGTAATTCACTGGTCAAATCACCTTTTTAATGCTATCTTGTTTATGCCTATCCTCAAGTCTGTTAATTTCCCTTCCTTCCACTTCACCATGATGATGTGCTTCCTTTGCAGCCATTTGCATTTTAAATGTAGAAAATTTCTTTTTTAAGGGATATTTGAACTTGGAGTCTTGGGGCTGCTTTGCTAAAACTGTTAGCTTATGTATTCAACGGAAGGCTCCAACAATGTTTCCAATATGCAAAAGGCATCTCTAGATTTTGGTAATAATTTTGGTCAGCATTTACAAAGGAGATCAAATCAACAATGTTGCAATAAATTTTGGACATCATTATCGCCTTTCCTGACTTATTTCTAGTTTAGATCCAAAACTTTTTCGTATTGGTGACGTTTCAATCCATCCTTCGATGCACTGTATTCCGTGCTTCAGGGACTTTCAGTCCTTTGAATTTTCATTCTATGGGTGGAACATATCATATTTGTACAGCATTAGGATCTTAGTTTCTACATTTGAACAGCCAAGCTTTTTTGTTGCCCAAGCTTGTAGAGAATTATTCCTTAACTGTGCCTCATTAACCAGGTGGGACAAAATGCTGGACCGAACAATGAAGCTGCAAACACTATGATGCAAAGATTTTGGGATTCAGCTATGGCATTGACTCCAGATGATGATGAAGAGACACGGAGGTTCTAGCCTCTTTTTCCATATAGTTCTGTTAAATCATTTTTTTTTCCTTCAACTGATCTTTCACATTTATCTATGACGTTTCAGCGAGGGTTCATTGAAATTAGCTTCTGAAGGTGCAGAAACAGGAAGATCAAATCTTTATCCTTCGGCGAGCCTGCCAAATACTTTTGCCTTCAAGATTCAAGACCGAAAGGGAAGGATGCACAGATTCAACTGTGGTATGCTATTGATGAGCCCTTGTTAAGAATTAAATACACAAGAAACAAATTAAGCGCTTGTTGTATCTGAACTATGCATCATATATGACTTCCATATATCGTGGTTAATATCTGGCAGATACAAAATAAACTTTGGATTCTTGTTCTTCTTTGAAGTATCTTCAGACTCTGATATGAAGCTCTCTTTGAAGCCCCTGATTTCTTTCAATATTGTAGTGGCATTTAAAATGTGAATTTTCCATGTTACATGTTCTCTACTATTGTATATTGATCCCTCCCTATATAGTATATAGTGAGATAAGGCAAGTTATATATGTAGTACTCTTGAGAATCCCCATCATGCATTGTATATTTAGCAGCACTCTTGCTTGTCATTTTGAATTGTCTGAGAAATATTGGAACTATGGTTCTCCAGTTATATAACGCTACCTAAATCGCTACCTGAATCATCTCTTAATGAAATATCGTATCATCTCAATGCGCAATAATTTGACTCTCATCAATATTATGGCCCTTGTATTTCCATAATTCAGATATACGGAGCGTGACAGATCTCATAACTTCGATCATTCAGAGATTGGGGAATGACATTGACCGAAACAACCTTCCTCAGATTTTGGTAAGGATGCATGAGCTTTTTCCTTGTACATATGAAGATCCCCTTTCGCCTGTGTTTTTTCTGGAATAACCCCTTGACTTCAATGTTCATTGTGAATCCCTCTGTTGCAGTATGAAGATGAAGACCAAGACAAGGTTATCCTAGCATCAGATAGTGATCTTACAGCAGCAGTTGAACATGCAAAGTTGTCAGGCTGGAAGGTACAATTGTTTCTTTTTCTGGACCTTTGTTCTGAAAACAGCACGCGTTAGTATGACTTGTAAGAGACATAACGATAGTGACAAAAAATATCATTTACAAAGGAACTGATGTTAAAAATGCAACCTCTACAGGGACTGAGATTGCACTTAGACTATTCAGGAACGCCTGGTCGTAGGAGAGGTTCCAACTCGGAAAGTTTGGATTATGCTCATCCAGAATCTGCATGGGCCTCAGCCTACACTGCTGTAGCAGCTGGTGCTGCATTGGCCGCGAGTTTAGGTGTATTTGCTTTCTTAAGGAGATCCGGTGAGTGATCAGTCGAAAGTAATTCGCCACGTGATATACATTCCCTGCACTGGGAGCAGCAGATATAGGAAACAATAATGGGTCAGCTTGATTTCTATGATTGTTTACTGTTGCTATAGAATTTTATATACCTGAAAGCTGAATTTGATGTATAGTGGTGAGAGTGTTGTCCCCTCTAATTACACGCTTTGTAATTCAACTGACCAAAGCAATTTTTTTTTTAGTTCCCAGAGTGTAACAGAATTCAGAGGTGTCATTTGGCGCATTCATGTCCATGTAAAATTATTTTACGAAACAACTTTTGTTTGTGCTTGTAATGACAAATTTACATTTATCGTCAATGTCAGTGAATAGGGTACAATACAAACTTAGGTTAAATTGTTGTGTACAAATATTGAGTTCCTTTTGATTTATTGTGGTTGTATTTTTTAATTTATTTTTGGGTGATTGGACTTGAGATGAGAAAGTAGATGGTAGAGTCCAATCGCTAGCAATATAAATAACGATGTATATATGCTATAAATATAAAATATAATTATGTTATATAATTATTTAAAAATATGGCTAAAGAGTGTAATTATGACATAGTAATAAAGTACATTAGGTACAACTTATTTCTAAAAAAGATATAACGTGGCTACAATAGAACTAAATTCTTTCTTAGTGTTCCCACCTCCACTCAGGTAATAAAGAATACTACTCTAATAAGTTCAAAATTTGTGTCGGTGCATGAAATCACGTGAGAATAGCAAAAGATACTGAAGAGTTGATTATTCTTTTTTTTGTTTTTTTGTTTTCCGTGTTCAGAGCTGATATTAAAGTTTGGTTAAATTTGATTCGTGCATAACAAGTTTCATTCATAAGTGGTGTTTATAATAATTTTTTTCATATTTAAAGTTTAAAACTAAAATTTATGATTAAGAATAAAACGATCTTACCAGTTATATAAAGTGGATTTACGTCTCGCTTTTTTCTTTCATTTGTCTGTCTTTTTTTAGGCAATTTGCTTCCCTTTCTTTGACTAATAACACTTGTCTGTCAAACTTTTCTGAAGAAAAGGAACTATTTCAGAAAAACATTTAAAAGCAATAAAAAGATTACTTGATACCTCACTCAAATGAGTAAAAGACTTAATTTTCATAAAATAGAAATCTTTGATGAAATTTAATTCCATTATTGAGAAGGGTACTCTGCTTGCTATCATTGCAAGTGGCTAATTGAATTTTCTAATTGGTACATAAATGACATATCCTTCATTAATAATTGGTACTTTTATGACATATGTTAAGAAATTTACTATACTGAGGAAGATTCCACTCCCAGAATATATATGTTCCAATTAACAAGCATCAGTCTTTCAAGTCTCTCTTGTCTAAAAAAAAAATACTCATAATATCTTCGTATATTTTAACCTATTCTACTCGATTTTTGATTGTTGTTATGAACAAGTTAAAGCAACAACACCAAAAGGAAACTTCATATTTTCATATACATATATTTTTATATTTATTGTCTTTTTGTCATCTTCTTATTACCAGGGGAAGGAGAAAAAAAAGGGGAAGCGGACAATGAGAAATGTAAGTCTCTCGCCAGTATTACAAGACTATTAATAATATCGGGCGGATAAAATTTATTCACACTTAATATATTAAATTATAAAATTAATAATAAAAAATAGACTTAAATTATCTCTTTTCATAAATTTTTTATATCTTAAAACAAACCTCGTTGCTCAAATAGTCAAATATTTGTCCTCAATAAGAATACTAGTGAAAAGGTGATATGTATTTTACCATTAACTCTAAATTACATGAACTTGTCATTGCTTTTTAAGTTTTAAATTAAAAAGTAAAAAAAATATTGTATCATTATGTATTAAATTTTACTACTTTACATTTTTACATCAAATTAACTGTTTTTCTATTTCACCTAATTAAGACCCAAAATGAGATGAAGACAATCTCCATTTAAAGCTTCCCACAAACTTACATCTGCACATTTATTTCATTCATTCATCTGTCTGTCTTTACAACTACACTTACTAAATGTCTAGATCCTTCCTCTTTTTTTAGTTTCATTTGCTAGTTCAACATTTTGTTGAGATTCAAGAATGGGTCATTTGACAAGAAAGACTCCACCTTTTTGCTATGTTTTCTTGATTTTTCTAAATCTTTTGTGGGGTTTTGAGAACACTTGTGGAGAACAAAAACAACCCATTAAAACTGTTGTTGTGTTGGTTTTGGAGAATAGATCTTTTGATCATTTGCTTGGATGGATGAAGAAATCAGTGAATCCAAGAATCAATGGTGTTACTGGAAAAGAGTGTAATCCATTGTCTACTAAAGCTCAACATACTCAAACAATTTGCTTTACTGATGATGCACAGTATGTGGATCCAGACCCTGGTCACTCTTTTGAAGATGTGGAACAACAGGTAACTATCTCGTCTAAAAGCTTAATCGATTCTCACTCATTCATGTACTCAATTAATTTTTTCTACTAAGAAAAATGACTCTAAGATAATAACTAAGATAATAACTATTTGTTGAGTGATAAGTAAATAGTACTGTTTTGCTTTTTTGGGGGTGGGGGGGGAATTGAATTGTACGACTGTCTCGTCTAAAAGTTTAAACTTTATATCGCAAAAAATAGGTGTTTGGCTCTGGTTCTGGCTCTATTCCATCAATGTCAGGTTTTGTGGAACAAGCACTCACTATGTCTGATAAGAATCTATCAAGAGCTGTGATGAGGGGATTTAAGCCGGAAAATGTCCCAATTTACGAGACATTAGTTCGCGAATTCGCGGTATTTGACAGATGGTTTTGTTCAATTCCAGGCCCAACACAACCAAACAGGCTATTTCTATACTCTGCAACTTCTCATGGTTCCACAAGCCATGTGAAGAAGCAGTTGGCTACAGGGTATCCACAGAAAACCATATTCGATTCGTTACACGAGAACGGATTAGATTTTGGTATTTACTATCAAAACATACCATCAACTCTGTTTTACAGAAATCTAAGGATGTTGAAGTACATGTTTAAGTTTCATCAGTATGATTTGAAGTTCAAGAAAGATGCTAAAAATGGCAACTTGCCTAATTTGACAGTGATTGAGCCAAGGTATTTCGGTATAATCGGATATCCAGCAAATGATGATCATCCATCACATGATGTTGCTGATGGACAGAAATTAGTTAAGGAGATTTATGAGACATTGAGAGCTAGCCCTCAGTGGAATGAGACACTTTTTGTTATAACTTATGATGAACATGGTGGATTTTATGATCATGTTAAAACTCCTTATGGTGATGTTCCAAATCCAGATGGAAATACTGGGCCTGCACCTTCTTTCTTTAAGTTTGATCGGCTTGGTGTTCGTGTTCCAACGATTATGGTCTCTCCTTGGATCAAGAAAGGAACTGGTAAGTTTGAAATTTCCATCTTTTTTTGATTCAAGTGTTTGGTGTTCGAAACTTGCTGGTTCGATTAATCTGAATTTGTGTCTAGTGGAGATGACTCCATTTCGAATTAGGCTCTGAAAGGGTGTTGGGGGAATGGTAAATGTTCGTTTATTATTAATTAGAAATTTCGAGTTTGAGTCATGAAAATGAGATTACAAGAGGCTTTATTTCCCATATGGTTATTCAACTAATAGTTATTATCTAAGTATCTGGTGTTCAAAATTTACTCATTCGATTTTATCCGAAGAGGACTCAGCTTCTAAGGCTCCAAAAGGGTATGGTGGAATAGTAAATGTTCATTCTGATACTCGATTTTTTTGTGAGAGATAGACTATTAGTTGAGTGAGCATCTGATAAATCAACTCTCGTAATAAGCTTTCTAGGGCATGAATTTGACTTAGTCATATCAGTAAATTCCCCGAACATTGCATACTAGTCAGGTTTTAGAGCTCTCTAGCGAAGATGACTCTATTTCTAAGGCCCCTACCCAACCGAACGGTATTAGAGAACAACAAAAGTTCCTTCCCTCTTAATCAAAGTCTCGAATTCGAGCCATGAGAATGAAATGCACTTCAACCAGGGGCTACTCTGACTAATTAGTCGGATCAATGAATTCCGAAGTAGGACAAGATTAATCCAAACTCCTACATGCTCCTTTCATATGGATAACGTAAAATATATTACAATACAGCAAGATGTTCAGATCTTTCTGCACCACAATTTTTTTTTATCTAACATAGTCACGGGATCATCTCTTTTTTTGTGTTTTTCTCTGTGTTGTTCTATTCTAGTTTTTAATCAACTAATGTCACATTATTTTATTTTTTTATGCAGTAATAACCAAGCCAAAGGGACCTACACCAAATTCCGAATTCGAACACTCATCGATTCCAGCAACAATAAAGAAAATATTCAATCTTTCATCGAATTTTCTAACTCATAGAGATGCTTGGGCAGGCACATTTGAACATGTTGTAGCTCAATTGTCATCTCCAAGAACAGACTGCCCCGGTAAGTACTCATACATTACTAGTTCTACGTTTATAGACGACAGAGGCGGAGCTAGGTGGGGGTTAATGGGTTCAGACGAACCCACTAGCTTTTTTCGAATGACTCAAAATTATGTATATTAACTTGTGAACCTTAGAACTCCCAGACTCTTAATCTTGGCTTCGTCTCTGATAGACGATTATCTTCTGTTCAATTTTTGATTGATTGATTATTTGCAGAGGTTCTACCTGATGCATCTCCTTTGAGAAGCACAACTACGGAAGCTGATGAAACTCGGGCATTGTCCGAGTTTCAGAGCGAAGTAGTGCAATTAGCAGCTGTGTTGAATGGGGACCATTTTTTGAGCAGTTTTCCACATGAAATGGGGAAGAAAATGAATGTAAAAGAAGCACATAGCTATGTAGGAGGTGCAGTTTCAAGATTTATTAGTGCAAGTAAAGAAGCTATTAAATTAGGAGCAGATGAGTCTACTATTGTAGATATGAGATCTTCTCTTACTACTAGAACTTCTGTACAACACTAGTTTGTTCATTTTTATTTATATGTGATATCAATAAGCCCCTTTAAATGTATATTGTTTTTATGGATTTTGGCATCCATTTTATATAGTTCATGTTATTCATCAATTAACAAAATTTAAAGCAAGCAAGGCCATGTAAAAAAGAGAGAAGTTCTGTTTTCCTTAGGCTTTTAAGTTTTTCTTTATACTCCCTCCATTCAAAATTAAGTCATGTTATGCTTTTCGAAAATCAATTTGATTAATTTTTAAAATTAAATTAGATTATATTTATTTAATATTTTAAACAAAATGTTTAGATATTAAAAAATTATGCGAAAAGTACTATAAATTTTAATTTTTTGCAGGGAAAATATACAAGTACCTCCTAGACTATGACCTAAATTTCAGACACACTTAAACTAAACTAAGGTCCTATTATTTCATGAATCCAATTTTTTTTCTTTGTAGTTTTGTGCACTTTTTTTAGCTTACGTAGCTTTCAAATATCTCCCACACGTTTCAATTGCGTGGAGTCACAGAGTATGTTACGTAATACAAAAGGTTTAAAAAATTACAAAAAATAAGTTTAGGAATAATAGGGCATTAGTTCAGTTAAGAATATTTGTGAATTTTTTCATTTTTCATAAATCAAATATAATTAAAAAAATATATCGTAAAATGTTAATTAAAAATTTTAACAGTTAATTCTAAAAAGAAAAAAAGATCATCACGACTAAAAATGGACGGAGAGAATATATTTAGAATTCCACAAAAAAGAAAGTCCTTTCACGAGAAGCTAAAATTTTTGGGAAATGTTTGCAAGTTTAGATATGAAAGATGAATGTACAAGTTACAATGACGGCAATTAAAGGTGAATTGTATTGTTGTGTACAATTATTAATTATTTATTCACAGCACCGTATTTTTTTCATTATTTTGTCAACAACGTATATAACTCTAGAAAAAAAAAATTAAAATAAGTCACGGGAGAATGAATTAACAGAGTCCATGCATCATGCGTGACAAAGAAAGTCTTAACGCGTAATGGTTTTTGTTTTTTTTTTAATTTTCCCACATTCGACTTCACATATATACGTAGAGTTGTCAAAATGGGTCAATCAATTTCACTCGGCTCAAGTATCACGGTTCAAGGATTTAATCTGCTAGAAGGGGTACATACTTCATTTTAGGAATGTACAAAATCAAATCAAAAATCGAAGAAAAACCGACTAGTGGTCTGGTGTTGGAAAAAAATCCGACTATATTTGAATTGTTTTGGTTTCAACTTAAAAAAATCAACCCGAGACCAAACCAACTCGATATATATATAATTTTATTTTTTGAAAAATAAAAATACTTACTTTGATATAATTTTTAAATCTCTCTTTTACTTTTTCATAGTTTTTATCGTTCAATATAATTATTTCATGTTTAGAAGTTAGAATTCTTAATGATCTAATAAAGATGATAGTCTATACATGTTGGTTATTATAATAAAGTTTAAATAAAAATCAAATTAATACTAATGCAAAAAAGAAAATCAATTCAACACTAAGAATGACAATAATATTGAAGATTTATTTTTTAATTTTACATAGATTTAGACAATAAAAATACATGATCTGCTTTTACTTTCTTTTAATATTTAGTCATGTAACTAATACCTTACTAAACTTATTTTAGCATGATTTAGTACTTTAAATTATGATCAATTTCATTATACGCGATTTTATTATTATTTTTTATTGGATATTTTAGTGTCGTTAAATCATATCATATTTTTTGTTATTTTCTTAAGAACTAACTTAGATAGTTGCATCTTGGTATAACTAAAGAAATATTTGAAGTACAAGAAAATTATAAATTTGTATGAATACTTTATTAAAAAAAACTAGAAATCCAAAAAAACCCAAAGTTGAAAAACTCGAGTTTTATTGATTTGGTTTGATTTTATAAATTCAAAAATCCGACACAAATAATTTAATTTAATATTTAAAAAATCCGAACCAACCCGATCATGTACACCCCTACTTCAGGCCTGGAAAAGATCAATCAAGACGTCGTCCTTCTCTTTCTTTATTTTTAGTTTTTTTTTTTCTAACTTATAATTTTGTTAATATAATAAGTTTTTAACCCGTCTAACAGAATTATATGAAAGGACATAATAGTTACAATCGTAACATACATTATACATTTAATTAGTGATGCTTTCGATTACAATTTCGTATCTAAAATATACAAAAAATAAAAAATGAGATCTTCAAATAATATGTGGCAAACAGTGACGTTGTTTTAATAATTCTAACAAAAACACATTTAGATCTTTTTGAAAAAAATAAATATTTCTAAAAACTCAAAAAAATAAACTTACGAATTAAAGAACAATTACTCTATAATATTTTTTACTTCAAAATAAATGAAGAAATAGTTTTCACTCAGAACAATTCCAATTAAACCTTGATGAAGTCTCAAAGGCCCAAAGCTTACAGGCAAATCCCATGGCTAAGCCCATTTGACGCTCCATGTACAATGTTCTAATTTAGTTGGAATCAAATCCCTTTGGGATTTAAAAAAATATAGGGAAAATTAGTAAAAAAAAAACATATTTATTAGAAATATCTATACTTTATAAATATTAACAATAATGTCAAAAGTGTCGTTATTTTAATAAATTTATGCATCCCAATTTTCTTCTTATTTTATCTCCCTTTTTCAATTAATTCTATATATCAATTTTTTTTTAAAAAAAACATTCTCTATATTTATCTTTTCAAATTGTTAATTCTCTCTCATTTAATTTTTTTTTCTTTCCAATATTCAAGTCGCAAATATTTTTCTGCCATATATTTTAATTGTTTTTTTATCAAAAAATTGAATCAACAAGAATCCCTTTGATTAAGGAATCTCTAATCTTTATCCTATTTTCAGATTTTTTTCTGATTTTATTTTTGTTTAAATCTTAAAAAAAAATTTGTTTGTATTTTTCAATTTCCATTATGGTTTACTCTCCAATGGCTAAATCCAAGAGGCTTACTAGAGGTATTCATTCATCTTCATCAACCAATTTTTAGTGATTTTTCATCCTTTAATTTATTTATTACTTAAAAAATAGTGTATAATGTATGATACGCTGCTAGAAAAAGGGTTAGAACATTTACAAGATTCATTAGTGTGCAAAACCTTCCTCAAATTCTGAACGCACATGTAAAATCTTCATCTACTCGTAAGGATCTTGAAAAAGACGACGAAGATCGGATAATTGTCGAACAATTTTCTATTAGTTTGTTTTGTATTTATAGTTCTTTTTTAAATTTTGATATGCTTTCTCAATTTGTATTCGAACCACTATGTATACTATCAATATTTGTATTTATTAAAATTTCATGTTGCATGGTTTATGAATCTTGTATTTGTCCTTAATTTTTTTTATTCAAATGTATGTCAACTAGTTATGTATTTTATTTATAAGAACAACTTTATATTAGTTTATTTGTATTCAAATGCAAATATAAATAATAGACATATTGAAATGAATACGACTTAGAAAAGGAAACAAGATTTTGAAAAGAAAAATAAAATACACAGTGAAAAAATTTACGAATACAAATGTATTTCTTAAATAGCTACATTTTATTTGACATACATATTGGAATGAATACAAACTAATAAAGAAATACAAGCTTCATTATACAAAATACAACATGAAAACTAGAATGGATACTAATACAAACGGTATTGGCATAAATATAATTTAAGCAAGGATACAAAATTTTGAAAAATAAAACAAATACACTGTGAGAAAAGTATGCCAAATACAGATAAAACTATAGGTATTCAAGTTTCTAAAGTAAAAAAAATTAAATTTAATAGATAAAACTATAAAGTATTATCATAAAGTTTCACAATAATAATTATTGAGAATGAGATATTATATTTTTTGATTATATGATTTTCATAACAATAATTAGAGAAAAATTGATTTTGAAATTTTATAGATGTGATACTTCTTTAATTCCGTAATTTTTATAACAATAATTAGTGAAAAATGAATATTTATTTTGGTTAATAAAAGTGTTTGGAAAAAAAAAAGATTAAGAAAGTTGGATATTGAATTTTTTTAGAATAATGGAGAAAAGAGTGTTTTTTATAACATGATGAAAAAAAGAAAGAAAGAGAAGAAAATTGGTGTATTTTGATAAATTGTAACTGATGAGACTTTTAACATTTGTTCCTTTTTAAAAATAATTATCTCTCTTAAATTTTTCTCTGTTATATAAAAATTGTATTTTTTTAAATAAAGCAAATAATAAAAACTAAGATACATAACAAACTTAAAATTTTGACGTTTTTATTGAATATTGAAAGAGTTGTTAATGAATCCCCTTAAATGTTAAAATATTGACATTTTGAAAAATTAAAAATATATCCATTCGTCCACTATTGTTTGTTATGGTTTCTTTAAAGTTAAATTATACAAATTTTGATTAACATTTTGCTTAAAATATTAAATTAATATAATCTAATTTAATTTTAAAAAGTATAATATGAAAAATAAAAATAGACTAAATCAGATTATACATTGTACTCGTGAAAATGTTGTATATTTCGTGCCATAGAGAAAGACAAAAAAAAATTGCTTGTTAATAGTGGTTTGAAACTGGGGCAACTAACTTAGTTCAATAACCATCAACCTATTCCTTGGACAAAAGGTGAAAGAAGAAAATCATATGAATATGAAGTTGAAGATGATGATCATTTGAATTTTATTAAATTTTCAGAAAATAACATATAGTATTTAAAAACGAAAATATTGGATAATCATCGTGGCGGAGGGCGGACCATAAAATATAGTCTAATTTACAAAATCACAAGTGGGTGTAGTAATAGCAGCAACTGTACGAGAAAGATAAACATGGCATCGGGAATTAGCGCTACCCTTCTTCCCCAATTTACCGTCAAGCAGCAAAATTCTCCCTGTTATTCAACCCCAAATTTTGCAGCTGAACAACAGCAATGCGTACCGTCTATTTGGTCAAAGGTACTTCCACTGGCTGTTGCGGTTTCGCTGGTCGCTCCCCTTTCTTCTTCCGCGATACCTTCTCTCAACTCCAAATCTACTCCGGTTGCACCCATGACCCCGTTCTCCCAATCCAAGAACTTGCCTACTGGACTCGAAAATGGGTAAATTTTTTCCACATTTTTGGTTGGTTATTTTATTACTCCGCTGAAATTGATTCAATGTTGTCCAGGAGTTTGTATAAATAAATATTTTTTTTTCAATTCATGTCGTGATATGCCTGCTTTGTTTCTGTAGTTTATGAATTGGGATTGTAAAATGGTCTTAAAATTAGAAAGCTTAGTGGCAGCTCAACTAATTTCACGTGATACTTGCCACCTCCCACTAACAACATGTAGCAGGTAACTCTGTCCACCAGACTAGGACAAATGGAAAGAAACCACCTACTTTTTGCTTGGATTTGAACCTAAGACCTTAGGGTTCTCAACCTACTTCATTGACCTCTAGGTCACACCCTTGGGTGCTATTAAGGACGCATGAGGTCTTGGAATGTAGTGTGAAAGTAAACAATCTGAGCATCCAATCCAAAACTTCAATGAAAACATGGAGACCATTATAAACCTTTTTTTGAAAGCCTTGCACAACATTGTGGTACAACTAGTAACTTAACACTCTCTTGCACATATTATTGGGTTCAGATGTTCACCCGTGAAATTTAGTACGAAGTAACAGGTGCGAGAATGGGCTTACTAAATATTGGTTCTAATATCATGTATTGTATGATCACAGATCACCTCATCTTTGGGGGTCTAACTTTGGTTGTTCTTTCCTTCGAGCTAAGATAGACCCTAGAAGTTTAAGTCATTTTGATTCAACATGATACAGAGTGTCCTAAGGCCCTGTGTTCAAGTCATACCTCTATCAATTATCTAAACAGTTGAAGCTTCTGAATGAGGTGGTTGTACAGTTCAACATGGTTGCAGAGAAGACAAAGATCTTACCCTTCCCTTTCGGTGGGCAAGATGAGAAGTGTTGTGTGCAAGTGAATCCAGGTTCAAGTCTCCCAGTCGCCCCTAGTCAAAATAATTTTCATGTGCGTGGAGCCTTGGACGTAGAAAAAGAGTTGGCCAGCACATGATGTGCTTGCTATGCATCTTAATTCTGTGGCAGAACCACATTTACCAAATTGTATTCCCTTTACCAGAAAAGCTGAATTTCTTTTACGTGTATATATATTAATTGTTGTATCCTCCGGATAGAGCATTTCTATGAATCCCCTGAATGAAATCCTGCTTCCGCCACTGCCTTTAATAAATAAATAAACATGATTGTCTTCTTTCTAATAGTTTAAGTTTTGAACTCGTTTTAATTGCTTTAGGTAATTTCTTAGGGACCATTGTGTTAATTTTAATAATGCAATGCATTTCTTGTCCACTTGGTGACATAATTTTAGTGGTTAAACTTACAAAAGCTAAGTATCACTATGTTCTCTTGTTCCTTGCTTGATTTTGTAGTCAACTCTTTCAATGTACAATAGAGGGAACTATTTAAAGCCAGTCTGCTCAAACATTTAACGATTACTTCTGTCGTTTATCTTATGGTTCTTGTCGCTTGCTTTTGCAGAAAAATCAGACCTTGCCCCTCAGTTAATCCAGGGTGTGTATCGACAAATCCCCAATCTTCTTCATCTGCCTTCCCCTTGATAATTTCTCAAAATTCTTCTGGCAATGCTATCATGGTAAAGAAGATGCGGACTTTCTAGACTTCCAACCGTTGTTTTCATTTTGTTCAGAAACCAAGCAATTGGCTGCTGATAAATTCTTCATATCTGTGGCAGCAATTGCAGGATGCCATTTTGAAGACACAGAAGAATGCAAAGATTCAAGTCGTTGAAGATATCCCTGACGGTAATCTTATTGAATCAAGATGCATCAAATATTGCACTTTACTAAAGATTCATAGATGCCTGAAATACTATACAGATACAAATGTATCTGCGTAGTGTTTGCTGATGACGGAAATAACTGCAGGAAAATATTTGCAGGCTGAGGTTGACGGAGGATTTGGCAGAGATGTTTTAGAGTTTTTGGTGAAAGGAGATTCAGTTGCCTACAGAGCAATGGCGACAAAAGTGACCTATATATACCCATTTACTACTGCATTTGGAGATTCAAAAGGACAAGAAGAAAGAATGGAAATGATTGCAGAAGAGTTAGGATGGTATGCACCAAGTCTTGACTCAATGGATTAGAACTTTGATGCATAGAACTATCTACATGCACCAAATTTTGTATAGCAATTCATGCATGTGGTAAGTTTTTTTTTTTAAAAAAAAATTCATCTTTTGAATCTGATCATTGGTAAAAAGTTCAGCTGTCTTCTTAATATAAATCTGTTTCATTATACTTTGTTACATTAGGAACTAACTCATATAACTTGTTATGACCACTCTGAGGGCTTTGTAATTGCACACAACTAAATCTCATATAAGAGAAAGATTGATATATATAAGTGATCGTAAAATCTTAACTCACTATGAGCGATTTTTATCTTTAAAGTTAATCCGAAACCAAAACAACCTGACATCACATAGGTCAATATAGACTACAAGAACTCGAGTTAACGACTTATAAACATGATTCTGCATCATTGAGACTTAATACAAACAAAAATTGCCCTCATAAAATAAGCAAAGAATACAAATAAATACATTTTTGCCCTCAAAAATAAAGAATAATACAAACAAATATTTTAGTTTCGAGAAAAGGAAAGAACAAATATTAGAAGTTTCCTATACTATAGCTTTCTCAATCGACTCTTACTCCGGAAAAAGATATTGTAGTAATTATTGTGTTTTTGTGAACACGCGTTTGGTCATGCAATATCATATTACAATATAGAATCATGAGATAGAATCAGCATTTGGACATGCAATTTCAAGCTGATTTCATTTCATGAGATGAAATTCCTATTCTCCAAAATCATGATATGAATTAATTATATGGAAATTTCATATCATGATTTGAGATTTTTTAACACAAAAATTGAACCACAAGTTTATATTTTGTTAAAACAAACCCACAGACTTTTGAAGCTTGGAAATATAGATTCATAATATTAAAACAAGACACGAACCATTATGATATTGACACACAAGTGAAAATTATCATAACTTGTGCAGCGTTACATAACTATTTGCGAGGAGTGATGAAATATTTATACTCTATGAGCACGAAAATATAGTTGTGGATGACATTGACCAACAAATGCTTAAAGTAACAATGTTGATTCGTCTTATCGGTCACATGATCGAGTTCAATGTGAGGAGAATGTCAGTATTATGAGGGATGATTATATTTAAGACTAGTTCACTACAATTTATTTTCAATTTTTTTTATTGAATTAAAGTTTGATGAAACAGTTACTTAAGTGGGAAACAAATAGTTTTGTATTGATTTAGAGAAAATGCATAAGTACCCCTAGACTATTCCAGAGACACACCCAAACTTAACTAGAGTCCTATTACCCCTAAACTAATTTAAAATTAAATAAATACACCACAAACGCGGACATGCCATAGAGAGTGTGCACACTCTCTTGAAGGCAAGTGATGAGTGCACAAATCGAACACTTGTCATTTCCTAATTGGTAAATTTATAATTAGTTAGTACACATATATATATGTATAATAAAACTTATATGTATTTAATTATTTTTGTTTCTTTCTTTGTAAAATATTTATTTTAATTTCTTTTCACTCTAAATTTTTTAAAATTAATTTTTTATCTTTTCACTTTTAATCATTTTTAATAAATTGTGTGTATTTAAAATAATAATTTAAAAGTGTCCTTTATTTTTAATGTTTTAATATTGATATATGTTTAAAATTAACTTATTTTAAATAGAAGACATTTGAAATCAAATCAAAACGAAAGACAAAGAAAATAAATTCAATAGAAAAATAAAAGAGAAAAGAAATGAAGGTAAGCTACTAATCAAGGTAAAAAAATGTGTATTAAATTAATTTAAATACACAATAAAAAAATTGAATTACGAAATATTTTAAAACAAATTAAGAAATATTTTTTAAAAAATATTTTTTAATTTAAAATATATATTACATACATGGCGGACGAGTGTGTACAAACACAACCAACTTGGGTGGTTAAAGGTATCACATCACCATAAAAGGTGCACAAAAAATACAAATAAAATGAGTTCAGATGGATAATAGGATCTTTATTAAATTTAGATGTGTCACTGATATTTCAGTCATAGATTAGGGAGGTACTTATGCATTATTCCAATAATTTATTATGTGATTTTATAAAATAAAATTATTTGGTAAGATTGAATAAGCAATTGAGGCTACTTAAATGATTTTACAACTTGTGAGATTCTTATGTTAATGAAAAAAATGTACAATTCAAAATTTAAATATCTCATATTCAAACAAAATTTTAATTTCATCTTATGATTTGATTTTATATCGCATATTGAAACGGAGCCTTAAATGTTGTAAAAGTTGTACTATGTGTCAACAGATAGATTTTTTTAAAAAAAATCAAGAGCAGCCTCAATATTAACTACATTTTTCCGTTCAATTTTATTTATATTTGATATAAAACAAACAAATATCTTTTGCTTCGACAAAATTAACAAAGAATGATACAAACAAATACTTGCCACCATAAAAGCAAATGACAAATATTAGAAATTTCCTTTATGACTTTGAAGTGATCCCCACAAATTCACACTTCACATATGTATATATGTATATTTATTTGTTTTTGCCAGTAATTACTATTTTAGTGAAATGAACTGTCAAATTGTCAGTCAAAAATACTATTTCCTTCGTTTCAATTATTTGATATGAATTTTATATTAAAAAAATTAAGATATTTAGTCTATAATAAATTATTGATATTTATGAGTTATAGATATCTCATTTTAAGATTAACTTGCTACGACACATAAAAACATGTTCTTATTTTTAAATTTGACAAATAAAAAATGTTATCTTATAAATTACATATCGCGATTGATCCTTGAGTTAACTAGCATGGTAGCTAGGTAAATACATGTTATTATGCTTAAACTATGGTTAATTACAATTCTAATTAACGTTAATTATATCACAAAAAAAGTCAACAAAAAATTTACAAGCGATTATCAATAATTAAAACGTAAATGAATAAACAAATTTATTATATACTTTGTTTGTAATATTTTTTTTTATACATATAAAGTGACTTTGACCAATTGGCCTACTTGATTCTTAATAATTCTTAATCAAACATATTCTCGTGGTAGGTGAATTAAATAATCAGATATCCCTGAAACTTGGAGATTAAACTATTATTCTTGTTTTATAAAAATCATGTTATACCATTTAATTATTTAAATATTTTTATTTCTTCTATTTGTGACATTCTTGCTGAAAAGACAGCTAGTATCTGGATTGTCTATATGAAAGAGAAATCTTGACTGATTTTTTTCAAAAAAATTTAAAATATTTTTGTTCCCTGAAATAAAATATTTTTAGAAGATACGAAAATATTGTTTAATTTTATAATTTTAGATATGTAACGTGAAAAATTGAAATTAAAAAAGACGGAGACACATATCAGTGTGTATTATTAAGTTGGAAATTGCGTGTAAGATTTGTATTTGATGAGATATCTGCCCACGGCTTTTACTTATTTGCCATATTTCTAATTTTGATTAAAAATTCTACCCCTAATTGTTGATTATCTAATTATTGTTGTTAACTGTTAACTTTTCTAATATTGATAATTTGAATATTCTATTATAAAGATCGGTTTAATTAAAATTCGATCATGTGATTTTAAAGAAAAAAAAATAAAAAAATTCGTGATGTAATTAACGAGATATTTCCATAATTGAGTATTGAATTCGATTTTGAAAAAATAACTTTTCTAATAATATGTTTTTTTTTTAAGCTACGCGACGTAAATCTTGAGCCTATTCTATAAGTATCACATGTTTAGATTTAAAAAGAAAAGCAAAGCCTTTTATTTTCTTCTTCGAATATATTAAGAAAATAAAATATTGTCTAAAAGCAATTTGATATTAACTTAACAAAATGGAGAAATGAAAATTAGAAAATGAAGCTTAAGGCAAATAATGTTGATTAATGATTAACATATACTTATTCTCAAATTTAATTAAACCAACTTGGAATATGCATACAATTTTCAATCACTATCAATTTTCTTTGCTACGATAATTTTTTCATTTTTGTCTTCACTTGCTAAATAATATATTGGATATAAAATATCATTTCCAATCATAGAGGATAAGAACAGATACATATTAATCAAAATTAGATGATATTGTTTAGATATTTTATGTTTTGTTTGAAAAAAATCGTTCATGTCTTTTGGGGCTTTTAAAAAAAAAATTATTTATAGAAAATTTATATTATCAATTTTTACCTTAAACAAAAATTTAATTATGAAAAATGAAAACACAAAGACAGTGTTTTAAGTATTAGAGAAAGAAAATTAGTCAATTAAAATATACAAAATGGTGGAAGAATTAATGCTCTTATTTTTAGTGATTTAAATGGAAAATTATGAAATGACTTTCTACGTGTTACACTTTATTTTATTATATAGAAAAAAAAGTTTTAATGATATATGTTTTAAGCTAAATGGGCTTAATCTATTCTTAAGTATGGTGATATTATTGTTCCTAAATAAGTATATAAATTTTTTTCTTCTTCAAAATATCTTTTATATAATGAGTATTCAATAATCCTAGATTAACACACATGAATAGTTATATCAATTATTGAACTAATAATATATTAACATGGTCTAAGATTATCCACGTTAATTAAAAATATCTCATATGTGTAAATAATTATTTTTCTATTTATCACGTGAATTTTACTTTTACATACAATTAATTTTATAATATTTTTATTCATTTTAATTTATTAGATATATTTTGATTTAACATGAAGTTATAGAAAATAAACAAAATTTAAATTTTGAGATTTTCAATTATAAGTATATATCACTTATCTTATAATTTTAAATATATTGAGAATTTAAAATTAAAAATATTATAATTATTTCTTTTAAGTATAAAAAAGTATTATTCGAAAAGTATGCCGAACAAATTGAAATTAGAAACGGTATAATATTGTACTAGTATGTCGTTAAATCCTTGAATTTAGCTACTAGTAGATCAATCAAACTCTTAGCTCTTACTCCAGGTATTACTCTTACCATTGTTTCATGCATAAACAAGAATCAAAATCGAAAATTGAGAGGTAAAATGGTGCAATTTTCGGAGAAATTCAGGGGATTTATGAACGATCGATGGCTAGTTTTTGTAGCTTCGATGTGGGTTCAGTCTTGTTCTGGAATTGGGTATTTGTTTGGAAGCATATCTCCAGTGATCAAGAGTGGTATGGGTTATAACCAGAGGCAAATTGCCTTATTGGGTGTAGCTAAGGATTTGGGTGATGCCATTGGGTTCCTAGCTGGTATCTTGTGTGAAGTTTTGCCTATTTGGGCTGTTCTGTTTATTGGGGTTGTTCAGAATTTTGTTGGGTATGGTGTTGTTTGGTTGATTGTTGCTCACAAATTGCCTGCTTTGCCTCTTTGGGTGGTCAGTTCACTTCTCTTTGATTACTTATCTGTTTTCAGCTTTATAGAGTTTTGCAGTCTGGAATTTTACATTTGTATGCTTTGATTTGAAATTTGAGCTCTTACATTTCTTAGTAGACAGAGTAATTAACAGTGGCGAAGCTAGAAATTTCATCAACGGTGTTCGAGATTTATTATGTATGAATCAAAAATGATTTTTGAGTTGTATAATTTTCTCCGTGTGGAGTTGAGATAATTGACATCATTACTTGCCTCCAAAAAATGGATATTATGTATTCTTGATTCTTTGGGTTGTGGGAAATTACATGAAGGGTTTCATGTTGATTCTTTGGGTTGAGGGAAATTGCAGTTTCATGTACGCTGAATTGCTAATTAAAGTTTTACCTAAAAATGGAACAAGCCTGAAGAGTAGAAAAAATAATCATGGCAATTTTTAAGGTTTGTCCACTAGCAATATCTATACGGACATTCGGGAGGATATCCGAACTTCTGGATTTTGTATTATTTGACATTCAGAAGATGCATGATATTTTGTATTATTGGATGTCAAACTTCTGGATTCTGACTTGTAGTTCTCGTTGATAACTTCAAAATGAGTAGAATATCATTATACATGTTGATCAAGTTCTGATTATGAATCTCAAAGTCAAGTTCCTATGGTAATCATTTCTGTCACTTCCTGATCTCCCCTCCTTTCCCCTCGTAGAAAATGGTAATCAAAAAACAAAGAAGGAAGCTAGATATCTTTCTCTTCTTAAAGTCCTTTCGGATGGATTCGACATGATAGTTTCTTTTGAGAACTTTACTATCACGGCTGAACAAGAAGGAGCTAAGCTGAGAAAGTTACTGCTGGATTTGGTTATTTTTATTCTCAGTGATCATGCATCTTCTTTCCTGGTGCTTTTACTGTCTTACCCAGGATATATCATTTGATAACATGCCAAATGCGGTTGAACTTTTTGAAACTTATGGCTTCTTAAAAAGTAACTTCTCTTTTGTTTTGATGGCGGGATTCCGTTTCTTCTCCCCTTCTACAAATATAATTATGAGTGAAGCCTATATTGGCTTTGAGTTTCTCTTTTTGTAGCTTTTGGTTTTGATAATGGAACTTCCGGTAGTGATTTTCTTTTGTCTGTGAGATATGGCCATGAAATATTGACACAACTACTTGTTCAGTGTCTTGAGATGTTCAATTCAGATTAGATATTACTGTCCAACCAACCACTTAACTTTTCAATTGTTCAATTTGTAAGCTAAGAAATGCTTAAAAGTGATTTCTTACAGGAAACCAATCAAAACATGTTCAATGTACTTGATAAGAAAACATGCTCAATGTCTACAAAAGGTTGGGTTCCCTTTGATCCTGGATGTATTGCCACAATTCTGCAGTTTCCTCCCCCCTCTCTCTTTGTTTTTTAATAATGCAACACCTCACTCTTTTGTAATATTTTATTAATTGAGTATCTTCTGTTTTTGCAGCTTTGCGTTTTAATATTTATTGGGACTAATGGTGAGACATACTTCAATACAGGAGCGTTAGTTTCCTGTGTACAGAATTTTCCTAAAAGCCGTGGTCCAATAGTGGGGATACTTAAAGGATTTGCTGGGCTAAGTGGTGCAATTTTGACACAAGTTTATGCTATGTTCAACTTTCCTGATCAAGCATCCCTTGTTTTCATGGTTGCTGTTGGGCCATCAATTGTAATTACCGCTGTGATGTTCTTGGTTAGACCTGTAGGTGGTCACAAACAAGTTAGACCTTCAGATCATTCGAGCTTCCTATTTATCTACAGCATTTGCGTTATCCTGGCAGCTTATCTGTTGGCAGTTTTGCTTCTTCAGGATTTAAGCAGTCTAAATGAGAATGTGGTAATCTTTTTGACAATTATCTTACTTATATTAATAGTGCTTCCGATTATTATTCCTCTTTTTTTGGTTTTCTTCTCTGAACCAAGGCCGGTTTTGGAGGAGAGCCTTCTTCCTGAGCCAGAGAAACAAGGATCCTCTAGAATGGGGAGTTTCGTTCTCAGCCTCAGTGAGGTAGAAGATGAGAGGTCTTCTGAGGAAGACACACTCCCACCATCAGAAAGACAAAAGAGAATTGCACACTTGCAAGCTAAACTATACCAAGCAGCAGCAGAAGGAGCAGTTAGAGTCAAGCGGAGAAAAGGTCCACGCAGAGGAGAGGATTTCACTTTACTTCAGGCTCTAGTAAAGGCAGACTTTTGGCTTATTTTTCTCTCCCTAGTTCTAGCATCTGGTTCTGGTTTGACAGTGATTGATAATCTGGGTCAGATATCTCAGTCGTTAGGTTATTCTAACACCCACATATTTGTTTCAATGATAAGCATTTGGAACTTTCTTGGTCGTGTTGCTGGTGGATACTTCTCTGAGAATATAGTAAAGTATGTTTTCCAAGTTCCTAATTACCAATACAGTTTCTTCCTTATGGAAACATTTTTTTTCTGATGTTTTAACTTGTTTATAATTATTATCAGATACTATGCATACCCAAGACCTGTGGCAATGGCTGCAGTTCAAGTTGTTATGGCATTTGCTCTTTTCTTCTATGCTATGGGGTGGCCTGGTTCAATATATGTGGTTTCTGTGTTGATAGGACTCGGCTATGGAGCACACTGGGCTATTGTACCAGCTGCAGTCTCAGAACTTTTTGGATTGAAAAGCTTTGGTGCATTGTATAACTTCCTTACATTGGCTAGTCCAGCTGGTTCGCTGATATTTTCTGGTGTTATTGCTAGTGGTATATATGACTATCAGGCAAAGCAGCAACATGAACATCGGATTCAAGGTTCCATACTGGGTCCAGGAGTGCCTCTTCTGAAGGATGACTTTCTTACTTGTTATGGTTCCATATGCTATTCACTCACAATGGGCATCATGTCAGGACTCTGCATCATTGCATTTATCTTGAGTATGATTGTTGTGCATCGAACGAAGAGGGTTTATGCACAACTCTATGGCAAGCCTCTAGCTTGAAGGATATTCAACTTAAGACACTCTGCAGTTTATATCATTCAAATGTATCCTCATTCCTTGGCAGATTACTCGAGCGATTTTGAGGAAAGAGAAGGCATCACAGATTTAATCTGCCCGTACGCCCCCGGAAACTTAATCCTTTGTCATATCTCTTTGTTTATAAACTATTTTAGAGTGTTCTTGACAAACACAATGTTTAGATTCCCAGTGAACCATATTATTCTGTCATGTCATCCAGTCTATGAAGCAAGTGTTTTTGTTTTTGTTTTGCTGGAGATAACAGTCATTTGTAATTCTTGACCATATGTTATGATATCACTATTTGCGGTACAATGTTAAATTTTTGAAGAAATGGAGAATGTGTTTGTTCTTTCATCTTCCTTACACTTGTCTGCTTCTGTCACACGGGCATCTACACCGTTTTTCTTTGATATTCTAATCAAACGGGACGTATAAAAAGATAGTAGCTTTAAAATTCATCAGTGTAGAAAGTTATGCAAAAGACAAATGTTAGTCGGTTTGTAGATCACGCAAACTCAAAAGTATAACATAGTGACAAGAATCTTGTAACTGAAAGTTTTGAGTATTTTTTTAAACATAACGCGTGAAAAAAGTGAATGCAAAACAAAACACGTTCCATCAATATTAATTTAAAAACAAATAGAACACCCCTTGACGAAAAATTACAATCAAAATACTTTTTCGTAAATAGTTTAACCATGGTTAAAAACTAACCATGGTGAGAGGTTTAAACCAACCCCCCTCCCCCCAACTACAAACAAAATACAAATAAATAGAGCATGCCAATAGCCAAACCTGAAAAATGTACTATACTTAAATTCAGGAAAAACAAAACCTTTTTTCTTTCTCTTCTCTTTGCCGAAGAAATGGTTTTCTACTTTACCAGCCAACAAATTTCTCTAGGGTTTTCGAAATTCTGAATTGATCATCACTCTCTCTAGCTTCAAACGGTAGAAAGATTGTTTTTTTTGACAACGATTCACTCTATTCGGTTCAACATTGCTTCGTTTTTGTAGGTATACTTCATTTAATAAAATGCTTCGTTGTTTTTATGCATGGTTGCATTCAGATTGTTGCAACTGATTTCTGCATATCCGTTTATGAGGAAGATGATTTCTGCATCAATTTATGTGTACTTACGTATTGTATATATGTATCTCTGTCTGTGTGTGTTTTTGTCTGCATTTTTAGATAAAGCCCTTGTTTTTTTTGTTTTTTTCTTAAGCGGTGGTGAGTGTAGATGACTTTGGAATATGAGGGGTTTAGTTATCTTGCTGATTTAATGTTGATTGAAGGCTTTGAAATTTTTATATGGATTCCTCTAATTAATAAGTAGATTCTTGAAGTGTATCTGAGTTGAGTACTTTTGGTTTTTGAAGCTTTGATAGTGGGATTCTTTCTAGATTCTGCGGTGAATGATTTTACAAAGAAGGGAAAAAAAAGCTATTTTTGAAGTGTATGATCTGAAATTCTGTAACGTCTGTATAAGGAAGTAGAATTTCAGAATCATAAAAGGAAGCTTGTGTTTTTTGTCTGAATAGAATGGATCACATGAGAAATCTGAATACATGAACTTTATTAGTACATACGGTGATTCGACGATGGAATGAGCATTAAGAGATGTAATTTGTGGTTTCATAACCAATTCAGTTACTATTTATGTGCTTAGAGAAACTTGAATGATATTCAGAATTGCTTTTCACGCCATTGTAAATAAGGTTCAAAAGGTCGGTAAGCAGCTTATTAGTTTCCCATGATTGTTTGACCAGTTTCCTTTAGATTTCGGCACATGATGCATGGGTTCTTGTTTGTACTTTTCTGGTGTTTATGGAAATCGTACAGTGCATTAATTCATGATATCCATGAAAAATGTAATCAAACATATAGTTTCACATTCAATATGGTTGCTTTTCGTTTTTTAAGTCGTCGTTACTTTGTAGTACTTGTACCCTTTTTTCTTTTATGGTATATTTCTGGCTCTCAAGTTTGCAGTTTCTGTGACTTGCATTTTGTAATGATTGTATTATAGGGTTTGAAGAGTCAAAGACAGTTCTTCTCCAGAGTATTTGTGTGAAATAACTTCACACAATAACCAGGGTCTCGAGTGTTGCTCCATTTTTGCTGGTTGAATCTGAGGGAGACAATACCATTTGCTCTTTGTGGTCTGCCAAAGTTGTCGGCAAATGGAATGTAACAAAGATGAAGCTATCCGGGCCAAAGAAATTGCTGAGCAGAAATTAACCATGAAGGACATAACCGGAGCTCAAAAGTTTGCTTTGAAGGCTCAAAATCTGTTTCCAGGCCTTGATGGTCTTTCTCAGTTCCTGGAAGTGGTCAATGTGTATGTTGCTCATGAGAAGAAGACTGATGGTGAAGTGGATTTTTACAGCGTCCTTTCTGTAGAGCCCTCAGCTGAAGAAGAAACTATAAGGAAACACTACAGAAGGCTTGCTCTAGCTCTTCACCCTGATAAAAATCATTCTGTTGGGGCAGATGGGGCGTTTAAGATTATATCTGAAGCATGGAACATCTTGTCTGATAAAAGCAAAAGAATGATCTATGACAGTAAGCGTGCTTTGAGGAATGCATCCATGCAAGCCAACCAGCACGGATTTTCTAATTTCTCCATGAGCCCAGCAAGTGCAAGAAAGTCAACAAACGCTAATTTCCAGCCCGTTCCGGTGGCTCCTCAGTCATCAAAAGTTGAGGCATTCTGGACATTATGCAATCTATGCCAGATACGGTATGAATATTTAAAGATTCACCGAAACAAAATTATTATGTGCCCCAAATGTCACCAGCCTTTTCATGCAAGGGAGGTAGGTGCTCCTGTGAAAGATCAAGGTTCAACTTTCCGATGGCCTTCCCGCCAGCAGCAGCAGGGTACAAAATCTGCTGCTAATGAATCTTCTGCTTCAGGTGTCTCTACAGCATCAAATTCAGAACAAACTGGATATTCTGGCTTTGGCTCAACAGTTGGAGAAAAAACTCAGCAGGATCGAATTTTTAAGAAGAGAGATGCAAATGGTGCACAGGCCGCTACAGCTAAGCGAGCTGCACACCCTGGCCAGTCAGCTGGTGGAATCTCGAAGAGAACTCATGCAGAAGCAGCTTCAAGTGCAGCGAACCCAGCTTTTCGGAAGAAAAGCAATCCATTCTTGAAAACTGATGCAGGTTTTGTTCCTGATTCAGTTTACTCTAGTTCAAAAGCTGACAGGCTAATAAAAAGGAGACGCACAGCTGAGTTGAAGTCTAAATCTCAAGGTGCGGGAACCATAAATGACATGGCTGCAAAAGGTGGATCTAGCCAAGGAAACATACATGGAAATGAGAATGGTGTTTTGAGAGCTGAGAGGGTTGCCGCTGTGGGAAGTAACAAACCTAGGAGTTCAGCGGAGTTATCCAATATAGAAATTCGCAATATGCTGATGAAAAAGGCAAGGATGGAGATCAAGAAGAAGCTAAAAGAATGGAGCACAACCGGTGCTTCTCGAACATCATCTAAGAAGGAAAAAGAAGTAGAAATGAAGAAGCAAATTATCAAAAATGATCTGAGAAGGAATAAGAATAAAGCTGCTCATGATGTTGTGGTGGATCCCAAAATATTACGCAAGAAGGAAAATTTGCCTGTCTTTAGTGCTCCTACTGACTTAGAATCAGAAGCTAAGTCAATGACTGTTCCGGATCCGGACTTCCATGATTTTGACAAGGATAGAATGGAACAATCTTTTCATGATAAACAAGTATGGGCTGCTTATGATAATGATGATGGCATGACACGTTATTATGCTTTGATTCACAAAGTGATATCTAGAAAGCCATTTGAAGTGCAATTGAGCTGGCTGAACTCCAGAAACACCTCTGAATTTGGCCCAATGAATTGGATTGGTTCAGGATTCCTCAAGACCTGTGGAAATTTCAGGATAGGCAGGCATGAAGTCAATAAGACGCTCAATTCTTTCTCCCACAAGGTCAAGTGGGCGAAAGGGGTGGGAGGTGTCATTCAAATTTTCCCCCAAAAGGGGGATGTTTGGGCGCTGTACAGGTATTGGTCTCCTCACTGGAATGAGCTTACTCCTGATGATATGATACACTATTATGATGTGGTGGAAGTGCTTGGCGACTACACTGAGAAGGAAGGTGTTACAGTTGCTCCATTAGTCAAAGTAGCTGGCTTTACATCAGTATTCCGTCAACGTTTGGACCCTAAATATCTTCTCCGTATTCCAAGGGAAGAGATGTTTCGCTTCTCTCATCAGGTCCCTTCATATTTGCTCACAGACCAAGAAGCTCCAAATGCTCCCACTGGTTGCTGGGAGTTGGATCCTGCGGCCCTGCCCTTAGAATTTCTTAGAGTCATGACAGACACTGAAATAGAGGCTCGTGGAAAAGTTGCAGATACTTCAAAGTTGGAAAGGACATGTGGTGAAAGCAAAGAGAAGGAGAAGTCCTATGTGGTTGGTGACAACAGTGTGACAAAGGGCGAAGAGACTCCCAGAGATTCCATGAGTATTGTCAAACAACCCATGGTGACATATTCAAGAAAGAAGAAGGAGAAAGCAGAAGCAAGTACCATTGAAACCAAGAGAGAGAAAAGCTAGGTTGCTGCTAAAGCTTTCTAGCCAATGATCAAGTAATTTTGGTGCTTTCTGTAGTTTAAGCTCGAACCTCCTTGTTTGATTGCTAATGATAGGGTAGTATAGATAAAGAAGACAATCCAGCACCCAAGTGAACATTTGGCCTTGATTTTTGTGCTTCTATAGGTTTACCAGATCAAGAAAGAGCTATACTGTAAAAAACCTTAATCATACTGTATATTTCAAGTTCTTTTCTTAAGTAACTTCTGGATTATAAATTTTCTTAACCATCTTATGTTCACAATTGCTTTTCTTTTCCTGTTTCTTTTTAGTGTATTTGATTGGGCTATGGGTGCTGTTCTCGTGAAGGTGCACTACAGGGATCTCAAACCACTTTCAACATAGAGTGTTAATCATTTCTCCGTTTTTGCCATAGTCCGAATGATTTTTCTTTTGTCTTTCTTCCTATTTTATAACTTCAGCTTCTTAGCTTTTCTTATTTCTGGTTCTTATATTGCTACATGTGCATAGAGCTAGCCCATAAACCAACCACTTTTTCATGCAGACTCATTATATCCACATATCGTTACTTGAATATTGAAGTGTGATTCCTGTAAGTCTATAAGTTGTGTAATTCAGTAGTTCTTGTTACTTGCTTATCGTCTATGAATTTGTAAGTGCGATATTGGTAGAAATAGAGCCCACTGGCCATTTTTTTCTTTCTTAAATGGTCTACTCCTGAAGTTTGATGTGTGAATTTATCATGGGCTTAGGAAG